AGTCTTTAGGGCTTTCTGTATGTTATATGTCATCTGCAAATAGTGACATGCTTAACATTTCTTAGGTACTCAATCAATACTTATGAAATGAATGACTATTAATTTTTTTCTTTCTCTTCACTGCCACGCTCCTCGAAACTGCCTGCCTTTTCTAGCCATGACTCCTCTCCATCTGGCTTCTTCCCTTCTCCATTCCACTGGTGCTATTCTACAAACCCTACTCAGGGAATCCAGCAGCCTTTTCTGTTTCATGTTCTTTGACCTGTTGACCTATCTGCCTCATCTGACACTGATATCAGCATCTTTTGGGTTGTCGGAAAAGTCATGACGTATTTTTTTCTGTTTTTCGTTGCAAAAATGTGTCATGACTTTTCCGACAACCCAATACATCAAAACATAGTTCTGGCCCTTGCTTTTATAGAAACAGATGTTTTACGAAATGTTTTCCACAATTCTTTACTCAGACCTATTCTATCCTTCTATTCTCCCGCACAGATTTCAATCATCCCCAAGGCTTCAGTCATCTGTCCTATCATCACTATCACTTTGCTAGATCACTCTTTTTCCTAAGCTCCAAGCTTGTTCATAGGCTTGAAACCCAATTCCAACTGGACTGTACCTTGGGATGAGGCACTTTAAAGACAATGTTCCTCCTTTTCCCGGTGGCTTCTCTTACTGACCTACTTGTGCAAACCACAGCAGCATTATTCCGGTTACCAGGCTTGAAACATTCAAAGTTACTTTTAACTGTGGACCCTCTTTTACAGGTTAAGTTGCCAAGTCCTACGGATTTTTCCTCTAAGATTTCTTTCACATTCCCCCTCCCACCCACTTTCCATTTCGATTGTCACTGTCCTTATTCAGGCAAATTAGTACCCCTAGATGGCTACCACTTCCTAATTGGTCCTCTACCTCTACTTCTTCCAGTTTTACCTATTTAACTAATCTCCTTTTAAGTACAGCTTTCCTTTGCATTACTTCTCTACTAAAAAAAATCTTCCTGACCTCTTATTTCCTACTGAATTAGGACAAACTCTCATCCTAGTTTTCAAAGCTCTTAGTTTTTATATACATGTCTAATTCTAACTTTCCACGTGATTCTTCTAGCTTCAGGAAGAAAACCAAGTAAAATATATGAATAAACAGTTCACAGAAACAATCAATGCTCAGTCCCTCTCACAGTAAGAAAAATATAAATTAAAAACACAATGAGATAGTTTACCTATCAAGTTGTTTACCTATCAGATAGGTTAAGAATCCAACTGTTTGATAAGTACACTGCCTGGATAAAACTAATGGGAAACAGGTTCTATCAAACATTGCTGATGACAGCGTAAATGGATATAATCCCCAAAGAGGACAATTTGGCATTATATATTTAAATTACAAATGCATATTCTCTCTGACTCAAAAGTTCTACTTTTAGAAATAAAATCTAAAGGTATACACATATATATGAAAAATGACACACGTACAAGATTATTTATTGCAGTTTTTTAAAATAGAAGTTTGAAAATAACCAGAATTCAGAGGGACCAGTTAATTATGGCTTATCCAGACACTAGAATGCTATTTTTTAAAATGCAGACGTTCTTTATGTATCAATATGGAAAGATTTCTAAGATATATTAAGTTAAAAAAAAGCATTTTAGGGCTGGCTGAGTGGCTCAGTTGGTTAAGAGTGCGAGCTCTGAGCAACAGGGTTGCCGGTTCGACTCCCACATGGGCCAGTGAGCTGCATCCGAGCTGAGCTGAGCTGCCGCTGAGCTGCCAACAGGTGACAGGATGGCTCAGCTGGTGAGAGCATGTGCTCCTAACAAGGCTGCCGGTTTGACTCCCACATGGGATGGTGGGCTATGCTACCTCCGCAACTAAGATTGAATACGGCACCTTGAGCTGAGCAGCCACGAGCTGCCAATGAGTGGCCGGATGGCGACTGGACTTGGAGCTGAGCTAGCTGCACCCTCCACAACTATGACTGAAGAACAGCAACTTGGCTGTCCCCCTTCCCTGATTTCCCAACACTGTTCCCCTTCCCCAATTCCCCAATAAAAATCTTTAAAAAAAAAAAGGCATTATACAGAATATGAATAATATATTAACATCTGTGCAAAAAAAGGAAGGGAAAAATATATACTTGTATTGGATTGTTAAAAAAAGGAAACTAATTTGGGGATATGGGGAACTGGGGTGAAGGAGAACAGAATGCAAGACTTTTCACTATATTCCTCTTTATATTTTTGATGCTAAACAATTTTTTTTAATCAAAGAAGTCTTTAAAATAAAAAACAAAAATATAGATAACTAGGCTCCATTCTCAGGGAAACCAATTTTGTAGGTCTGGAGTAAGCCTAGGACTATGTACTGTTTTTAACCCCCCATAGGGCGCAACTGATCATTGCACAGTAATAGGCAAAGCTTATACTGAATTTATGTAATAAACATATATTGTTTTTACTTTGCGGCAAATTAAATTTTAATTCTGAATAAATAATAAGCATGCTTACACGTTATTTTCACGCATTTTCAATTTAAATAAACAAATGTCATACATGCATCTATTAGATGCATTGCGCTTGAACTCGTAACTTTTGCTTTGCACCAGATGGAGGGTTAAGAGCTGAGAGCAACTGCTGTAGAATTTCTAAGCAAATAATAATGGCTTCCCGTCTGTTTTCATGGCACTGACACATACTGTTTCTAGTCTTTGTTTTGTTTTTAACAGAGTATTGGTAGAGGATACATGAATAATCCTAAGGGGATCTGGAGGCTAAAAAAAAAAAAAAGAGTAGATGCACTGAGAAAAAAAACTGCAACACAGGTGACAACACGTTTCCAAAACAGATCTGCCTTGTCTGTCATCTCAACAAGCAACTGCACTTCTCTTCTCTCAGAAAGAATGCCATTAGCATCAACCCCTTTCATTCAAAGCTTTCTGAGCTTCATGGCTGTTGATTTAAGTCATCATTCTGACATGCCTACAAGGCTAGGCATATCATAGGTACTAATCTGTGGTTTTAAAACCATAGCTACACTCCTCATTATCGAAGAGTCAGGTTCAATAAAGAGGAGTCATTTGGAGGATTGTAAAAAATCTAAAACCAGAATTCTAGTCAACAGTTTGAACAGCATCATTAAGTAAATAATCCTATATAGCATCCATACTCAGGGCTTGGTATGGTGTCTTACAATTTTTCCATGGTAGGGGTAGGAGAGGAAAGATACGTGAACCATATATGCCCCAATTCTTATCAGCCAATCCCATGGTCAAGAGTGGATCTTAGATATATCCTATAAAAGATCATTAAAGCAAACATCGAAAGCCAACAGGATGCTTGTGATCTGTAAGAAGTTATTATCTGGGTCCTTTTCCATATTGTTTATAGAAACCTTCATCCTTACTATATATAGCCCACCATCTCATATAATCATAAATGAAAGCAAAGTATGTAGGAGATACGGCTTCAATAAGGGAAATCATTCCAAGCAAGAAGGAAAGAGAACTAACATTTACTGAACAACTGCTATGTGTCAGGCATAATGCCTTGCATGCTTATATTTAACTCCTTATTTGAGTCCCACAAAAACCCAATGACTATATTATAATCCCAAACTGAATCTCAGACAGGTTCATATCTTACCCAAGATCACAGACCCGTTAAGTGATAGAGCCTGAATTGAAACCCATGTCTATCTAACTCTAAGCCCATTTTTTTCCTACTACCCCCCAATACCTCTTTTAAATAGGAACATTTAAGAAGTAAAGAAAAGAGTTAAGTATGAGTTAATTTAAATGCATTTGGAAAAATGAAGCCTCTATATATACCCATTCGGCCATAGTGTTAAGCACTGGGCTATATATGTCACACTTGAATAAACTGAGACTTGAGAATCTAAGGAACCTGTTCCAGGTCACGTGGCTGGTAAGTAATAAGAAGACCATCTGACTCCAGAGACCAGGCCCTCAGATACAGTAGTCCCCTTCTCCAAAATTCAAAGGGAAACACAAGTATTGTCCATTGCAGTGAAAAAATTAGGCCATTTTAACTCCACACAGATAATTTTGAAAGGAAACTGTTGGTGATGCCTAGTAATGGGTCCACTAGATAAAAAAGGGAAATGTTTATTCTTTTCTCAAAGCAATTTCAGAGGTTTATGCATATTGACCTGGATTATAGATGGTATTAAGTAATACTCTTAACTGCCTTGATATTAATATTACCTAACCTTATATTTGTTTAATGCTTTTTAGTAGGTTTTCCAAAATGTTTTCTGATATAATCACCAATACATTATACATACATTAGGTTAACTGATATAACCATCTATAAGTTCCCATCTTTATTCCCACAGAATAAAGCCAAAAGTCCTAGTATCTCCTGAGATCCCTCGCAACTCTTCCTTTCTAGCTTAATTTATTACCAATCACACAAAATTTATGTTTCAGCTACACTACTTTCTGAGGATTACGCCTTTGTTCACGCAATTCCTTTTGTCTAGAATGGTCGGTCTTCCCTATGACCCATCTGGTAAATTCCTACTGCTCTTCTGAGCTGGTTCAAATACCTTCCCCATGAAACCTTCAGCTCACTGAATTAGTCACTCTCCCCTCTATGACCACCAAACCCTTTTTTTACACATCTCTAGCATAGGATTTATTATCATTATTCATGTGTTTCTTTTCCCTAAGAGATTGAGCTCCTTGAGAGTACAGATGATGTCTTTCTCAACTTTGTATCCCCAGTGCCAAACTCATAAAGGGTACTCAACATTTATCAATTATATAGACTACTAAACTGAGAATTAGATGATGGAAGTACATGTAAGTCCCCTACCAAAATACAAAGTTTACACCTCAGTTTTTACAGCTGCAAGGTAAGTAATTTTCAATTCAATCCAACAGTTATTGCAAAGATTACACTTCCTAATCAGTTTAACAGATGGGAATATTCTGACAGTTCTCTGGAAGAATCACAAAAAATGCAAATAATTGTTATTACCTCCTCCATCATGGCATCCTGTGTAGCTGAGATTTCTCCTTTGGTTGCTCCACTGTGTACCAGGTTCCGTAGTCGTATACAGAATTCTCTCATCTATGACAGAAAGTTATTCAGCACTCCAATATTTACCTAAATTCAACTGTAAATGAGCCTAACAGACCAACACTAGTTCTATTCTGAAGTATATAATTCAGCTAAGACCCAGGGCAAAGTTCATAAAAGAAATGTTTTTTCCCAACCAATCCACTTAAACACATAGCTAAAAATACTTTTCATTAAAAAAAAAACTCAGACTATTCCCAAAGAACACTAGATGAACAGCTCCTGCTCGGTAACAGATGGCACTCTGTGACACTACATGCTTGGGTATGGGGAAAACATCTGATTCCATAATGCCCCTGACCCTTAGAAAAAGCAGACTTACGATGACTATGCCATTAAGTCACTCTAATAGATTTTTATTTATAATTTTACTGGTTGTCTACTTCTTTATCAAATCATTTTGACCATGGCTATGCCAACCCCCAATATAGTTTTCATTTTTGTTGTTTTCAATTTATCTGAGATAAAGGCGAGTCTGAAATCTAATCGTGGTGCTAAAGAGGAGTTTGCTCCCATCCAAAATGGAAGCCAGTGCTATACTATTAACGATCTTTTAGCCTGTAGATAAACGCCCTCAGCATTTCCTGGGTGGAAAATAACCCACTTCTGATCTGGGGGAAACACATCTACAGTTTATTTTTAAATGTAATCTTTCTCCCAGGGATGACAAATCCGATTTTAGCCTCACAGATGAGGATAGCAGATTCTGGCAACTCTCAGTTCTCAAAAAAGATGTCTGGTTGGCAGAGAAGTATCCTTGTAGGATTTGTAATCCTCCTTGGAAAACGGGTTATGTGAAGAAGAGAGAATGATTTACTAAGATAAATGAAGCAATAAAAAGCACTTCAGTGACTACATTACATCTTTAGTGTGTGAATAAACTACACTGATGTGGTTAGGGGAAGCTTCTGAGCTCAGCATACTCTTTAAGGAAGTCTCACAAACAGTTCTTTTTGGTTTTACTAGTCCATAAAGCTGTCCCAACCCACCTCCATTAGAACCAAGTGACAGGCACAGCACCCAGTGTGCTTCTGGCCCATATTAATTGAACGTAGGACTTTCTTTCCTGAGCACCAATAAGAAAACATTAAAAATCAATAGAAATAAAAGCGGAATCTGTTTAAGAAGAAAAAAACACCATAATATCAATTATTTTTAAAGTTAATATATAGCTACATTGCTTTTGAGAGACACCATGTACGTTATGTACAAGAGACACTTGTACGACAACCGTGCGAACTGAAATGCCCAGGAATCCCCTTGAAGAATCAGTTAGGAGTTTCAAGGTAAGTACGTGAGCTTCAATCCCACCCTGCTCCATATGTTGTACCTTGTGATTCAGAATATCATTCATCCTTCTGGATGCCTCTGTTGTGTGAGATTCAGGGAAGCACTTCTTAGGGACAACACCATATTTTTCTAAAACAAAATGAATTTAGGGTTAGATAAGGTAAAAGTATATATATACTCCAGCACTCCAGCATCAGAAACCCTGGCAAAAATAGCTATTGCTTTAAAAAGTAGGCCGTATTTTGTTGGTCTAATTCAGAAAACTTCACAATCTTAGGCCTCATATTATTAAACCGGTTAATCTGCACATTTATCCATCTATCTTAGAATTTCATTTTTTATCTATCATGCTTTGTAAAGTGCTCAGCATGATCAGGTTTTCCCAAAAAGACAACCCTTTATAGAATGAGGACATTTTCAAACAGTTGCAATTTCAATGTGTTTCTTGACTACATCAGTGGACAAGAGATAAGCTTTTTCATAGATAGTTCTAGTTAATACAACCTTTTCTCCAACTCGCCCTTCACAGTCTATCTCCTTACCTACAATTTAAGAAAGGTACTTTATAGGTGAGAGCATGTGCTAAATGTTCTTAAAGCTAACTTTCTGGAAGACAAATTCGACTCTGTATGTAACCACCCAAAAAATGGCCTATGCCTAACTAAAGTGTGTTGCTAGATAATGCTGTTTCATTCCACTTAGAGAAAGGCTCTTACCAATAATATTGACAAGCATATCCCACTGTCCACCATCATTTACAGGATTCATAAGCAAATACTGCATCAGCCTACCATCCTCAGGCTCCTTTTTCTGGGCTGTGTCCACAAAAGCATTTAAAAAGAAGTAACAACGTTCAACCTAGAGTAAGAGAAGTTAAATAAAATTAAAGGAAAAGAGAGCTAATATCTTTATTTGCATTATCAACAGAGCAGGAGTCTTGGCACTACTGTAGACCCAACACAGTAGGTTGTTTTGTCTTCTTTTCTTTTCTAATTGAGTACAACTGACATATTATTTAGTTTTAGGTGGGGTTTTTTTGTTTTTTGGTGTGGTTTTCTTTGGCTTTTTTTGAGGTATAATTGACACAACATTGTATTAATTTCAGGTATACACAGTAGGTACTTTTAAACTAGAGGTTTTTAAAACATCAGTATCTGGCCTCATAAAAAAAAACATTTAAAGTTTCTTCTTATATCTGTGTGTATACATTCTAATAGTTTATCCAAAACAAGCCATTGCTTTATTTTTAAATAAAATCTGATATTTAGAGTCTTCAATCAATAAACATCTAATTGACATTTATATAATATATATTTTAAGGACTTAAAAAATTGAATAAAATTATTTACTGTTTTCAGACAAGTACTACTCAGAGAAGGGAAAGACCAAATAACCTAAATAAAGATGCTGAACAGAGCAGTTATTGAAAACAAAAATAAAAAATTTTAAGTAAGTTTAAGAAAGAAACAAGGAAGCAGTAGGGTGAGTCAGCAGACTTATTTCATTGAAAAAAGCAGCCACCTACCAAGCAAAAGCAGTTTTGCCTTTGAAAAAAGTCAACTTTGATACTTTGGAAATCAGAATAAATGGTGTCACATCTATAATGGAAGGCAGACGACAACCAGAAAAGCAAAAAATAAAGAGATAGTCCTTACCAAGGTTGATACTGAAACAAAAAGAATCTTTCAAGATCAGTCCCATACCTTGTCCCAGAAAAAGACGTAAGACTGACTAAACTCAAATTCTTCAATATTTAATTTTTTCATGAATGGAAGTCTCATAACATTCAGACAAGAAAAGATCCAGCATCGCCCTGAAACAAGAAAGCAAATCAAGAAATGATGATGAGTGTTCACATAGATTACACTATTCCAACTGTATTTCCCAACCATCAACCCAAGACAAGATCTTGGACAATTTAAGACTAAATCAGAAAGAGCAGAAAGATTAAAAACAACAACAAAATAAAATTTAAAAAGTAGTAATTACTATTTGCAATATATATGCAAAGGTTTAATGTTCTTAAGATATTAAAAAAAAAACTTTTTACATGTCACATAAAGAATCCATTACAAATCACCTAAGAAAATTACATTAGAAATACTGCTAGAGAAGCATGAGCAGAGATCACGAATAAATAATGGTTGTAAAAGATACAAATGGAAAAAAAAAAAAA